TAATTTTTTATTTATTGTGGGGACAAGGGTTCGCCAAGTTGCCCAGACTGGTCTCAAACCCGCAGGCTCAGACAGTCCACTCACCTCGGCCTCCCAAAGTGCTGGGATAACAGGCTGAGCCACCAAGTCTGGCCACTGCTGAATATTGATATTATACATATGTCATCCTTTTCCCCTATCACCCTAATTAGCTGACATTTTGCTGGAGAGAAAAAAATTAATAGCTTAAATAAATGAAACAGCAGGCAAGGGAATTTAAAGGAAATAGTTTAAATGAGGGACATAATAGTGAGACATTCGATTTTTTAAGTTGTATTTGGAAAGTTAACAACAGCAAAAATAATGAGGACACCAAGACAGGTACATGGTACTTACACGACTATAACGCTCCAAGAGTGCAACAATGTTGGCTTCTATCTGCACCTTCCGCTCCAGTTCCTGATCCCTAGTTTCCTCAAAAGTCTCAATAAAAACTGCCAATTGAAAAATCAAGATAAGAGAAGTTACTGCTGATACAGCTAACACTATACAAATTCTAATTTGTAGGTCTTAAGAGTACTTTTTTAGAAACTCAAAGCAAATATAAATTTTAAACTACCACTGTTTAATTTGTTATTAACCTAACAAATTACTCAATAAGAACATTTCTACATACTTTCAAATCTTTGAAGCCTAACTACTATGACCTTGATATAAGTAAACTATAAAGTAACTACAAATATAGGTGTAAACTACAAATATAAGGTGTAAAAGAAATGGCTGATAACATGGAGATAAAAGTAAACTACAAATATAGGTGTAAAAGAAATAGCTGATAACATGGAGATCAGAAGAAATGTTTTTATATAGGATCTTCTTGATATAGCTATAACTATGAATACATATAATTGGCCATTAACTTTATTTCTGAAATTACTATTGCTAAATATCAAATTTATCTGAAAATGAATATTTTGCTTATAAGGCTAGATTAATCTCAATTAAATAAAATTAATAATTTATTCAGATTATAAATATTCTAGAAAATCACCCTTTTACTTGTCTAATGTCTACATAGAACATACTTTGCTCTTATTTACATTCTTCAAGTATTCCTATGAAATTTCTAAAAAATAAAAACTTTCAGTTAAAAATAATTTTATTGTTAATATGAAAAAAATATCAAAGGCTTGCCTTTTATAATGGATTTCCATTATACTCTTGTCTTATGCTTTAAATGTATTTTTAAATTGGAACAGTCTTCAAGAAAACTTTTTATCTCAATATAGTAATAGAGGACCACAATCAACAATTTTTTTAGTTGAATTTTCTGTAATGTGCTGCTTCAACATGTTAACACAGGTCTTATCTGTGCTTCTGCTTATATAATCCATTGATCATATATTAAGTGGCTATATGAGATTTTTATACATACAAAGGCACAAACAAACATTGTCTTTCACAGGTTATTTTGTTAGAAAAACAAACCATAATTAGTATCTGAGAAGAAATCCAGAATAGATGACCTTTAATTTTAAAATTCTGTAGCATAATGATTCTTTTAATTCTTTCAGTAATAAACATTCATTAAATAAACATTTATTAAGAGACACTTAAGTGCCAGATACCATATTAGGTAGTACCTAGTGATTTCCAATATTGTGAAGTCATTACAAATCACTCCTTGATTTTACGCTTTCTGCTTTATAACAAGCAATTTTTAAAAAATGAACTAATTTTGAGATAATTTTTTGGTATTTGCTAAGATTTGAAAGACAAGTTGGTATGTTGTGAAATCAGTGTTAACAATGACTGTTTTATAACATGCCTCTATGAAGGTAATAGTTGACATCAGACCTATAAAACTTTAGATTTTAGCAAAATGATAACTTCAAAGGAACACAGGATAACATATGCACATTTTGAAAATTTATAAATGTATAACATAAGTTTTAGTGAAGATTCATTTATAAAGTCAAGCTGAGATTTTCTTTTAAGCAAATAGAAAACTAACAGAAGGTTACTAAAATTATATTTAGTGATATAACAAGGTAACAAGATCTGAGGGCTAATGATGAGATAAATATTATAAAAAGCTAAAATAAAAGTGAAAGATATTAAAGGTGAACATAGTAAAGCACGTAAAACAGGCATTCAACACAGAATCAATAAGTGGTATATAGGCTACCTCTATATAGAATATGAATGTAAGGACTAGCTTTAGAATCTATCCCCAACATATAAACACTCACCCATAGATGCACATACCGTTTTGGAATTCTCTACCCATTCCTAAATTATGCCAGAAATTTAGTTATTCTTCAAGGTGAAATGCTTTGAATGTCTACATTTCTACATTTATTAGTCATTGTATCTCCCCAAAAATAAGATCTCCAGTTTAGTATAAACAGATAGCATCTGAGAATATAATATATTTATGTCCATAAAAATATCACCTACTGTCCATCTTTTCCTCCTTTTTTTTAAGTTCCTTGTATTTCTGATTCATTTCACCTATAAGAGATAGAAAATAGAACATTAATCTCACACATTCCAGATACAGTGCTCCAAATTAGAAATATCTCTTAAGTTCTCTATATACCATTAGTCATTGAATAGTTGATATTTTCAATTAGGTAAAATTCCTTTACATTGACTTAAAGAGTTCTTTAAAGAGATATATATGCTTGTGTGTGCATGCCTTAGATATTTGGAAAACATCTCCTGACTGGAAAGGACTTAAAAGCTTTCTATTCCCAACTTGGGGTTATCTAGCTACACATGAACATTGCTCATGACGAGAAACATAAGTTTCCAGGAAAGTCCCTTCCATCTTTGCATAGCTCACAACTAGCACACTAGCAGAGTAATTTCCCTCACAGAGTTTATAGTCCAGAGATTTAACAAGTAGTTAAAATTAAAGTGAACTGAGTACTATCATATGAAAAATAAAGGATGCTTGCGTAATTCAGCAGACAGTGGTGTGTAAAGCAGCTAATAGCTCTCCTTTTCAGCAGACAGATCTCAGAAAGTTCCTCTGGTTTCACAAGGAGCAGTTTCCTCCTTGCCAGTCTCAGTTTTTGGCAACTGCATAAATTTCTACATTATTCTGTGAGCATGTTCTGTCCAACAAGTTCTTAATTTTTTTGTGTTGATGGTGGTCCTTTTTCAAGTTTTATTTTCCCCCAGGTGCTCCTTGTATCTGCTGTTTTTGTCATCTTTAAGTTATTTTTACCTCTTAGGAATTAATTACTTACTACTACTTTGTACAACTTTATATTAATTTTCTCATTTATATTATGGACTGGTTCTATTTTCTGATTGTACTTGGCTGATAAGAACAGATATCAGAAGTCCTATTTTACCAATGAGGGGAGTTTAAGCTTATATGAGTCTTAGGTTTCTCATCTAAAAAATAAAGTAGAACTAGTAATTCCTTCTTTTTCAAATTTACTTTGGGCATTAAATTATGTTCTATATGTTACAGGGCTCTGTAATTGCAATGATTGTTCAGTGATACCCTTTAAACATATCACCAATAAACTGTGCCTATTTAAACATTTTTTAAAAAGAAATAAAAATAAAGGATGCTATAGGAGCTTATGGCAAAAGCAACTAATCTAGTTTGGGGATGGAGAGAAAATTTTCCTAAAGAAGTAATCTTTAAGTTGCTTACAAAGAATGAATAGGATCTCAAACATCTAGGCATAGGTGGAACATACCTCAAAATAATAAAAGTCATCTATGAGAAACCCATAGCCAGTATACTCCTAAACAGACAAAAATTGGAACCATTTCTCCTGAAAACGGGAACAAGACAAGGATGCCCACTCTCACCCCTCCTGTTCAACATAGTTTTGGAAGTCCTAGCTAGAACAATCAGAGAAGAGAAGGCGATCAGGGGTGTCCAACAGGAAAAGAGGAAGTCAAGCTATCTCTCTTTGCAGATGACATGATTGTGTACCTTGAAAACCCAAGAGAATCTGTCAAAAACTTCCTTGCACTGATACAGGACTTTGGTCAAGTCTCAGGGTATAAAATAAATGTACAAAAGACAATCGCATTTCTAGACACCAATAATAAACAAACAGAAACCCAAATAAAAAGCACAATTCCATTTACAATAGTCACAAAAAAAAAAAAAGAAAGAAAGAAATACCTTGGCATCTTCCTAACCAGAGACTTAGTAAAAGACCTTTACAATGAAAACTACAAAACACTGCTGAAAGAAATAAAAAATGACACAAACAAGTGGAAAAATATTCCATACTCATGGATTGGAAGAATCAACATTGTTAAGATGTCCATTGTATCGAAGGTAATTTACAGATTTAATGTAATACCCATCAAATTACCAGCAACATTGTTTTCAGACCTAGAAAAAATAATACAGAAATTCATATGGAAATATAAACGACCAAGAATAACCAAAACAATCCTCAGCAAAAAACAACAACAACAACAACCAAAAAAAAGCAGGCGGTGTCGCACTCCCAGATTATTATAAAGCTACAATAATCAAAACAGTCTGGTATTGGTACAAGGACAGGCATATAGACCAATGGAATAAAATTGAGATTCCAGAAGC